CTTTTCTTGGATTCCTAAAACGAACAGTACATTCTTAATCATTAAAGAAAATAATACAATAATAAACTTACACATAAATTATGTGATTAACGTTATACAATCTTATTTATTGCAACAACTTACACTGTTATGGCATTTTAAATTGCACAATAGTCCCTTGATTTTACAACTGCATTTATTTGTGGAACACTTCTTTTTGCAATGACAGCGTGTATAGCCTTGCTCTTCACTTTTGGAATTAGATGCAGCTGCTTCTCTCAGCGATATTTCTTGAGAAGAAATCTCATATATGGAAAGTAACTTTTCTTTACAAATTACGAACTGATTACGTTATTACGTGATTACAAACTGATCTGTTAATGGTGTCTTTTATTCAGATATCGCCGACGCCTTACCGACGACCCCTCTCATCCTCCGCCACTCGACCTGACAAACCAATCCCCACTTCACGGGATCAAAAGACCTTGTCCTATCAAAAGACGGCTACCCAGAAAGGATTTGGCGACAGACTGTCGCCTCTCTGTCGACATCGGCTTCTCGGGAGTCATTTCGATCTCCACCAAAGCTTATCTGTGCTTGTCGACATACATCCGGCGATTGCTCGAATGTATATTAATATAACCAAATATTCGGACTTTCACCGACGTATTTTGTATGTGTCGACATTCACCGGATAATATCGACATTCTCTAATTTCGGTCTTTCACAGTAACATATACATGAACAACAAATGCAAACATGTTTTAATTTATAATCTGTTTGATTTTTATTTTTTGCTTCTAATGTGGCTTTATGTTGCCGATCTTGCCCCGCTTGTCATGATTTCGAAACATTAAGTACAACCTTTAGAACAGAATGCCAAGCCATGATATGGCCACGTGAATAAGTTGAAGTTACATCCTTCTAACAGGAAAAGTAACTTTAGTTGTCACGGAATTATAACAAAACCTGCCAATTTAATATAAATGGAAGCAAAATATTATATGGAATTGAACGAAAATGAAAAATTGCTTGATAATTCAACTACGCTTGTTGGAGAACAATAAAAACACTACACTCAACAAGCCACCAATAAAACTCAACTGCCTAACCCAGGGGTGGCCAAACCGTGGCGCATTGGACGATTACAAGTGGCGCTTTAGTCAGTTCTGAGCAACATTGCCAGATTTGGCTTCTTTGCAATTAAGAATATTACATAGAAAATTAATTTTTTATAGTCTGTCTTGGCAAGTTCATTTGTTGCACAATTCGTTGCAATCAACTTTACAGATAAAATAAGTGTTCTCCACATAGTAAATTACAGTGTATGCATGTATGTTTATTTTCGATCAGTGCATAGGCGTCTAAATAACAGTGTTACCGTCCGGACAGTCCACGAGTCGGTTGGACTGCTACACCTCTTGACCTTTTTTTTTTTTTTTGCTTCTACGATTCACGATACATTCGCAATCGTGAATCGTATTATTTGACATCAATAATGTCAAATGGGACTATTTTGTACGGGTAACTACACCACCACCGCATTTTTTATTAATTTTTTTTTCACACAACTGAATTTTGATCTTTTAAATTGAAATACCTGATTAAAGGGTGGCCGAAATTTTTCTCCGCCCCGGGCGGTTAACACCCACGGTACGCCACTGCGCATCTGAACTCGTCTATCAAAAAATTGGCGCATGGTATGCAAAAGGTTGGCCACCCCTGGCCTAACCTATAACCAAAGTCTCCTTTTAATTTGTTTTTTTGAAAAAAGCGCTTGACAAACTTGCCCCGAATGCTGAAGTTGCCCCGGTCTCCCCTATATAAAAAATTTCAAATATTTGTAAGTAATTTCAGAAATTTTTTAAAATTATTATTTGATTATTTTTCCTTTCGTAAAATCTCCATTGAATATTTTGCATGAGTCCTGTTAACCTGAATATTATTTTTCTTTTCATATCTCAAAAAATTTTTTCATGTACTTCAGTACATTAAACTTATAGATTTTACTTTCTATAGTCAAGAAATTAAGTAATGGCGTAAGTAAATAAACCTATGTACAGAGGAATGACATAAAATGCTGCTTTATTTTTCAAATATAGTGATATTCATCATCGATCGAACCTTAATAAACCTAATGCTTTATATCTTAAAAAATACTGACTTTCATCAAAAAAGCGCCGAAATTGGAATTTTTGTCTGATTCGAATAAGCGTCTAATATTTAAACCAGCACAAATGTATAAGCGCAAATGTTAAATAATAGAACAAGGGTAAATTAAGTTTATAAATTAAAAGGAAATATTGCAAACTTTCCGCCATTCATGTTGCACGCATTTAGCAAAAAGTTTTCAATTTCGAGAAATTGGCGTAAAAAATAGTTTGTCTTTCGTATTGTGTTACTTTTCGCAATAAGTATTTCCAATAATATAGCAAAGTGTAGCTTTTACCGGTATTTGACGGTATTCGATAATAATGTCGAACACAGTAATAATAATAAAAATTTGAGCCTTTCTTTAATTACTTAGTAGAAGGAACCTAAAGTAAGTTTTTGTAAGTAAGTTCTTTTGTTGTTGACTTTCAACTATCTATAAGTTTTGTTAGTAAAAAAACAGAGGTATGTGATTCGAAGTGATCAACAATTAAAAGCAAATTGCTGAACTTGAAAAAAATAAACTACAAATTATTTTTATCAGCCCAAGTAAATAATAAAGTCAAGAAATTGCCGTATTATAAAGACTTTTTTACCGAAATTTTCACTGTTCTTTCTAAAACTTTACAAATAATTATTTTTTATTAGTCTACACTTCAGGATTTTCACTTACCGAAAATTAGAAACGGCGACAGAATATTAGAGTTGACATTTTCAATTCCACACGCACCCATCAAACCGAAAGAAGAAACCACCGCTAATCCAGCAGACACAACTGCAGCAATTCCCATCCAAGGTTTACTCTTTACCCAACTGTTTGTCGTATATGACATTGCACAGAAAATTGTTACAACAATAACAGCGACACTCATCAACGGTGTAATTTCATCAGCAAGGTTTTTCACGTCTAATTCAGAAACTAAGAAAGGACACGGATATATCTCGATCGAATGAAAATCCAATTTGTTGACATTCCGCAAAAACGCTTTTCGCCATTCACGAATCCAGTGTCTTTTAGAGAAATTCGATTCGTCAACGGGATACATAAGTCTTATATATTCTACTTCCTGAACATATCCGTCCACATCATATTTTACTCCGCCGAAGTTAATTGCCCACAATTCGTATGTATAAGTCAAGGGATCAATTTGAAGAGGAAATTTTAACTTTTTTTTTCCAGAAAGTAATTCATCCACCTTTGGTAATATCTTTATTATCGGGTTTTCCATGCACTGCTCGTTAATTATGCCACAT